GTATGCTATTCGTTCAATGGAAGAGGGGTTTTTCTCTTCCTGTTGTCATAGCACCACGGGATCCACGGAGCCCATCAGTGCAAGAATCTGGACAAATTGGCACGCCGCCGTTACGTTCTATGAACCGACCACTAACTGCTCAGCTAGGTGTATACCTAGACTGCAGGCACTCCCTATTTTCTTTCTTTATCTACAGGTACCACTTATCTGTATTACACTATACCAGCTTCGAAAGTGGCAGCTGATCCGGAAAGCTTGCCCAAGTCGGCAGCCAGGGGCCCACAAAGCGGCTCCNCTGTTGTCGAAGCATACGTAGGCGGACGTTACGCTCACGGTGCAAGAACCTGGACCAAATTGGCATCAGCCGCAAGTCCTGTGACCCGACCTGATCTGCAAAGGCTAGACACTGGAATTCAACTACTTCTCAACTGTCGGAAACAGACGTTTTGGAGGAACTACGGGTAACGGACGAGCAAGTATCGGAGGTACTAGGATCTCTTAAGGTGTCCAAGGCGACAGGACCAGAAAACATTAGCCCAGCTATCATCAAACCGATTACTGATTTAATTGCGCGGCCGATGTGCAGCCTTTTAAGGACGTTGTATTTCATGCTGAATATTTTGTAAATCCTTCCGAACCCACATTGATTTATGGTGAAATAACTTTATCTGTGTGTTGCTCTCATATTGACATTTCACGATCACGAACACCACACATCATTATTTATCTGTTAATTTGGATGCCCGGCACATTTGAATCTCGCATGGTTTGAGAACGGGAGCGACTGTTTGCCTCTCTCTGGACATCTTACTTGGCTCGCTTGTTTGAGTGCTTTTGGCCGCATATTTGAGGTTTGCTTTATTGTAAATTTGTAATTATTTCGTTAATTCAGTACCGTAGAACATTGCGGATCAATTGTGTTTTTAATTCGGGATTCGTACCGGTTCGGCCACGCGTCACTCAAGTGCGAATTGGTTGACATACGGACGTCACTGGCTGAGGGGATATTACCGTCTGACTAGAAAACGGCCTCTGTAGTAGCCATAAACAAGGGCGGTAAGAAGACAGATGTAAAAGTCTATCTACCTGTTAGCTTAACTAGTGTTCTATGTAAGGTACTTAAGGTATGTAAGGTATTTAAAACGCATCTGGTGAAGCATCCGGAACGTTACATACTGATGACAGAGGCACAACATGGTTTCGTTAGGCAACGTTCATGCCTAACAAACCTGCTGTGCTTTTTGGAGGATGTTACTGCAAAAATAGATTCGGGGAAAACCGTAGAGGTGTGCTATCTGGATTTCAGCAAGGCTTTTGATTCAGTGAATCATCGCCTGCTGTTGACCAAATTAGAACGATTTGGAATTCAATGCCAGTTGCACAGGTAGATAAGTGCCTTTCTCTCACAACGATCGTTCTATGTGACGGTTGGTGAGAACCGATCCACACCAATTTAGCTGACTAGAGGAGTTCCGCAAGGCTCCATATTAGGACCGCTTCTATTCCTTCTCTACATAAACGACTTGCCAAGCACTTTGACATAATAATAATAATAATGTATATTTCACGAAGCCCGTGAAGCATGCACAGAGCATGATCAAATATTCAAAATAGTCAAATGTACATCAAAGGTGCAGATATGTAGAAGGTCAAATTAGAGGACATACACAATGGAGACGGCAGGGGACCGAAATGAAAGCGCAGTGCAAATGGAACACAAAGTGGACAAGGTCACACGTTGATTTGGAGAATGGAGGAAATACACTGGGTGAGAATATGAAACGGAAAATAAAGGAAGAGCGAACCTTGTATCGAGAGAATTCGACGTGCGGGATTAATGGGAGGAAAACACGGATCAATTTTCTATGAGACTAAGAACTGGAGGAGATAGAGACTCGTGGATCGATATGAATGGAAAAGACGAGTACAGTAAGTTTATATAGTTCCGAAATACATGTTTCTCTCTCAGCTGCATAACAGCTTGCTTTTGAGAGCACATTCATTTGGGTTCCGGGGCTTCGATCGACAATGGATTGGTTTAAATTATTTAGGCGTTGGTCGCTTTCATGTGAGACTGACTACACGCTAGACACCCAACCTTAAAACACCTTTTAGGTGAGGCAGGGGGTGTGATCCTCAACCTGGTCCGGAATGCGGACGCATGTAGTCTGAACGGTGGATACAACCGCGCCCAACAACCATTGCCGGAGCCAAATTGTCCATTGTGGGTGCAGACCCCAAGCCTTCGGCAGGACCAAACCAACCGATTCTGGAACAAGAAGGCGATACACAACAGTCTGGGATGATACCCAGCTGAGAAGGAGTGGGGGAACAAAACATGACACTAACAGTATGCACCGTGGAATAATGCCAAGACGTATGTGTACCTACGAATATATATATCTATATATATTTACAGAATCCAAGATGTAACAGGTGAAAAGCATGCACCTACAGACAATTTGTTCCACAGATCTATCTTTGGGGCTGGATCCGTGTACTGATATGAAATTGTCTAAGTGAACACTGCTATCTGGAGAGCATGTGCTACAGAGTTTAAGCAATTGAGTCGAACCGATTAGAGATCAGTGGGAGATAAATCAAGCAATAATGGGTCACAGTGCTCTGACAAGCCTGTACCTACATAGAGTATGCTTCACAGAACAAGCTTTGAGGCTGGATCCGTGTACTGGTAAGAAATGGGTTTATAACGTGAACACAGCTGCCTGGTTAGCATGTGCCACGGAGTTGAGTCAAGTGATACAGGTGAGAACGATATTAGGAATAGGAACATCATCATGCTACATTTTTACAGATGACGTCAAAGTGGTTGTTTCGAATGGGAGAAGTAATTTGGAGCGGGATTTAGAGCAGGTAACTAGATGGGCAAAGGAATGGGACCTAAGTCCTAACGCTACCAGGAGTCATGTGCTCACAGGGGCACTTGACAGAATGGTGGTTCACTCGGAAGAACACGAATTCGCCGTCGAACCCGCTACTAGGGTTAGGGATTTGGAGGTCATAATACCGAACAACTTTAGGTCGTCTGACCAATGTCAAGTAGCGGCGAGCAGGGCTAGGGGGAATTATTTAGACTACGGTCGGTTTTAACATGCAGAAGACTGGAAGTCTTCATTCCCGTTTACAAAGCCACAGTCAGGCCACATCAAGAGTATTGTGTACAGGCTTGGACCCCCTTATTCAAGAAGGATGCTGCCTGTTTAGAGAAGGTGCAGAGATTGGCCACAAGAATGATTGAAGGCCAGAGGGGAAAAAATATAAGGAAAGAATTGAGGCACTAAGACTTTTCCCATTAGAAAGAAGGAGACTGCGAGGAGACCTGATAGAAACCTTCAAAATAATGAAGGGGAATCATTAAGGGAATATCGGGGATAGAAGCGGACAGTCTCTTTATATTAGCTCCCCAACACGGCACTAGGGATCATGAGCTCAAGCTCATGAAGCAGAGGTGTCGCTTAAACATGAAGAAGCACTTTCTCAGCAATAAGATAGTCGACAGTTGGAACAGGCTTCCCAAGGAAATCGTCGACCTCCAAACTGTGCAAGCATTTAAGACTGCACTCGATAAACAATGGGTGCAATTATTCCCATCATTGGCAGTTTATACGTTTGTAGGTGTGCCAAATGCTTAGGATGCCTTTTCCCTTTTTACTGGTACACGCATGGAATGCTCACGTCCGATAATTCACTCGCCAACTTGGTGAGATTTTATTTCTCATTCTTATTTTAGCATTGCTGGGTGCCCACGCTGTGCGCATACCATCGAAGGAATTCTGGACGCTCGGTTGGCTGTGGCCATATTCAGTCCTGTGCAACCTGACCTGACCGAACTGATGGTAGTTAGCGTTTGCAGAAGCCCATCATCCACGGCCAACGAGGATGAGGCGCTGCTACTTACGCTACGTACGGCAGCTCTCCACAATGGGAATCTTCTGATCCTCGGGGATTTCAACACCCCCGAGATCAACTGGAATGAGGAAAGTGCCCCATTGGGGTCCTTTGGCCATGCGTTACTGAACATGCTCCACGATGAAGCCCTCGTGCAACATGTAAGAGATGATACGGGAAGGCGCGATGGCAGCAGGCCCACCAGGTTGGACCTGGTAATAACGAAGGTGGCGAAAGATATAGAAAGTATTCAGGTAATGGCCCCACTGGGTAAAAGTGACCATGCCCTACTCCATCTTACTATGTCCATCCGAGGGTCGACCGCCCCAGACAAGAGAAGGCGAAATTATGGGGGAATGAACATAGCGCAGCTCCTACGAGATGCAAATTCCATGACATGGGAGTTGGACCGCAGTGAGTCATTAGACGAGAGTTGGAATCTAGTTACGTCCAAAGTACTGCAGCTCACGCATACTCATGCTCCGC